CCCCAAAACCCCAAAACCCCAAAACCCCATAACCTAAGATTCCAAAATATGTAGTGTTTATGATAAGAAAGTGCAGAATGAATAGTGAAAAGTTAATTTATTAACACAATAATAATTTTTTAATTCAGCTGGCTGAGTGTGTTCAATTCTTAGCTCATCTTGATAATACAATATCATCGATTTTGAGGATCATTCTTACGCATTCAGTGGCAAGAGTGAGTGCACTGATAGATACTAAACTTGGCTGTACTACATTCTCCTCTAACATATTAAGGATGGTGTTCTTTTTAACATTAAGGCCAGCATATCTCTCACCAGCGATGTGTCTATTACGTAACTCAGTGACGAAGTTAATTGGGTCCATACCGGCATTTTCAGCCAAGGTGTATGGGATCAACTCGAGGGCCTCTCCATATAATCTTACACAGTATGAGTCTGAACCGTAGATCTCTCTTGAATGAGCTTGGAGTTTTTGGGCAACTTCCATCTCAACGGCGGCACCACCTGGAACAAGTGATCTCTTTTTAACGAGGGCTCTGACAACGCAGAGAGCATCATGAAGAGATCTCTCAGCCTCATCTAAGACGAGTTGATTTGAACCTCTCAATAGGATTGAGACTGTCTTGCCTTGGTTGGGGCAGCCAGTGATCTTGACGATCTTTCTCTCTCCACCAGCATTAACTTCCTCAACGAGACCAGCAGTTCCGAGCTTGTCAGCAGTGAAATGGTCGATGTGAGCGACTGGGGTGGCCAATAGGGTCTTTGAGATGAAGTCAATTTGGTCTCTATCGATATCCTTAATGACCATAACGTTTTTCTTGGCTAAGAAATGAAGGGCGAGTTCGTTTACAGCATCTCTCAAAATACTCTTTTAGATTAGAATAACATTACATCCAGTTTGGCATACCTTCTTGACTAGGTCTAAAATGTATTTTCTCTCTTCTTTCAAGATTCTGTCCATAGCTGTGTAGTCATGAACAACAACGTTGTTCTCCATATCGGTCTTGGGTGCTGAGAGGCAGAATTGGATGAGACCGATTTTGGCGTTAGTGATCTTTGATGGGCCACCAGCGAAGTGAGAGACTTTCTTGTCGACGAAAACGAGACCGTCGATGAGTTCGGAGTCATCAACAGTACCACCTAGCTTCTTTGAGACATTAATATCTCTAAGATCGACATTAGTATCATTTTCCTTATCAATGATTCTTAATACTGCATCAACTGCCATTGGGGCGAGAAGATCGGAGTGTTGAGAAACAACCTTGGAAGAGAGTGAGGTAATAGCGTTTTCGATGAGTTGTTGTCTGTTGTTAAGATCGACTGGTTGACCCATGCTTTCGATGATTTCAACTGCCTTGTTAAGAGCAACGGCGAATCCTTCTGAAATAGATGAAGGGTGGATACCTTTTTCGATCAAATCTTGGCAAGCTCTCAATAAAGCACCTGCAATAACGACGACTGATGTGGTTCCATCACCAGCTTCGATATCTTGAGCCTTGGAGATCTCAACGAGCATTCTGGCGGTAGGGTGGATGACCTCCATTTGCTTGAGAATTGTAGCGCCGTCGTTTGTGATGAGTACGTGACCCTTGGAATCTTGGATCATCTTGTCCATACCTCTTGGTCCTAGTGAAGTTCTAACGACATCTGAAACTGCTCTGGCAGCGATGATGTTAGTGGATCTGATATCCTTGGTCTTCTCAGAATCCATCTTGCCTCCAATATCTCTTTGTTAAAATGCTAAAGCTTTTGCGCCACCTTCCATTTGAATTATTTAATAATCTATATTATAATTATGACTACTTGAATTCAAATTTATATTCAATATCTATTCTCCCTTAACATCCAAATTTTCATTATGGGGTTTTGGGGTTTTGGGGTTTTGGGGTTTTGGGG